AAAATATAAACGTGACATTTATGGGGAAAGAGATTATGAAAATATATACACGCAATCGGGTAAAAAAGGGCACGTAATAGGAAGAAAGGAAAATTATTTTACAATAATAATAATAATAGTAATACATTTTTTTTTATAATATGCGATCCTTACTGCAGATCCTTATAGACAGCCAATGTTATTTTATGTGATCCAAGTTTTTATCATCATTATTCGAAGATGATTTTTTTGAAGGTATTATCGATTTCGGCTACAGTCCACCTCCACCGTTACCTCTGATTTCAACCGGAGATYATACAATGCATAATGTATTATAAGTTTAATACTTATAGGCTATAGCACAAGCCTCAAGAAACGAATATGAATCTCAACATGTTTCAACACATATAGATGAAAAATCATAACAATCGAATAGCAGGCGATAGAGATACAAAGAAAATTTCACAATTAATGAAAATAACAAGACTTAAATTCATTGACAAGTTAGAAAACCAATTTTAGTGAAAATGTAATTAAAATTCACTTTTAGAAATAATTAATATTATTGATATAGATGCATTTATAATATGTTTAAATGCTATAATAATATTATGATACGTATACGATTTTTAAGCACACCAGTAAAACTTGGTTTAATGACAGTTCTAACTCCTAATTCTAAAAAAGTAGAAAGTGAAATTTTAAATTTCCAGTATTGTACAATTCATAATTTTGGCATGCGATTCGGTTGAATTTAATTAAAAACTCGTGTCCAATTCGATCCTATAAATTGAGTTTTGGCATGCAATTCGGATATACAGTCGTTTAAATAACACTTTAGAATATATATTAATATAATATATTCGCTTGTATGAATATGAACAATGGGCACACCTCTGAAGTTTAATATTATGTTTTTATATGCGATTATTCTTTCGACTGATATGTATTATAGTCAATGTAAAAATATCCAATAGGACACGTAGGTCCGCTGAATAAATGTACCAATTATTTTATTTTCTGTTTTTCGCTTTTTCTGTGGTTGTAACTATATAGTACGATCACGACGAACAAAGAACAGACAGATTTTCTATCGATAAGGGATATCGGTCGGTTTAACGAGTTATGAATAAATGATTTATTCGTTTTAAAAGATATAATAATTTGAGTTCTCATCTGTTAGAGCGAGGACGAGTTATTGTACAAGTCGTCTAGGGATAAGAGTAGGTACTAGCTCTTTCATCATGTTCGTATAGTTAAATATTTGATTTGAGGATAATATATTATTATGATTTATGAGTTTATAACTATATTAAGCGAATTCGGTATAGAGGTGGCTACGATTTTTGGATCAGGATTGATGAGTGATTATCTCATGAAGTAATCGCAATAAAAAGTGMGAAGCTACGCCACACTACATATTATATATAGGACGAGAAACAGTGATCGTCCGTCATTTTCATGAAAACTTAAACGTTAGAAATCGAAATAAAATTTCTGGTAACTGTGGTTGGTATATACTATATAGTGATGCTTATATTGTAGGTATGTGCTGTGTTCATTCAATATAATAACAGATGAGATGATGAACTCCAATTACCTATTAACTACTTCAGTGGCGTTTCATTTGTAAGTGTATACTAATTTATTTATTTTGTTTTCAATAGACGATTACGTTTTGATTTTTGAAATAAATTTTCCTCTACTCATTTTCCTTAGCATTTCAAATATATAATGATGTATAAATGTATAACAGTAATTACTTTTAGGCTAATGACCTGTGATGTTGAAGCCTTTTATTCCAATAAAAAAAAAATAAAATAAAATGTATAACACTTACCTAATTGCCTGCCATATTGTATCATTTTTATATACTATACATTTGTTATTATTATTATTTTAATTAATTCTGTAACATGCATAAATAAGTTAAGCTGTATTAGTTAATGTACTAAAAGCTAATAATAACAACAACAAAAAATGTATAATAGTATGTACATAATATTAGTTTAACAACGTTTCGTTTTAGARAGATGTGATTCATTTTAAAAACATCATTMAATTTGGCTTTTCGATTTCTTCCACGAAAATATTACCTAACTAAACTGAATGAATCTAAATTCTCAATTGATTGATAAAATCTATATTAAAGCGAGCGTTAAAGGGAAATCAAGACTTAATGCGTTCGCTATATTTTAGAATGATAGGTAGTTAGGTAGATAKTAAAAACTTAATGATTTCGTATAAGGCATACTATGATAAATAGTTTTATTTAAATTTTATCGCAGAAAAAAAATTATGATAATAAAATATTCAATTCAATAATCGTTAAAAATAATTGATGAATAAAAAAAAATGTATTTCTCGTGCAGTTTGTGACAGATCTCTCGAACGAATGACTGGCCCCCGGGGTCTTGAGATTCCTAAAACAACTATTTGCAACCTATACGCGTGCGCGTGTCCTGAAGATAGTAGTAATAATAATAATAATAATAATAATAATTCAACGGTGAAGATTGTTATACAATTACGTGTCAGTGTGTCACTATAAACGGTTTATACGTAGATAAAATAAAATATATATTATATTAAAGTGTGAGTTTCAGTACGCATAATACATATTTTGTAAAGATTTTATAAAGCAAATGCTCGTATTTATTTTCACCCGTGTCGAGATAAAAATGCGATCAAAATTCAAATCCCTACACCTCCGTATAACATAACGCTGCATGTTCATCTTTAGTCAGCAAATAATGTACGATATACGATATCAGGGATGGCAAAACTTTTTTTGATCGAGATATACTGAGAATATATTTTGCCTTTGACRGTCGAATTACCTCGATGTAAATTTTAATTTAATTTTTTAATTTTTCAGCATTTATCACTAATATAATTAATAAAAGATAAAATAAAAGCTATAGATACCTTTAATATACTTATTTAATGTGTAAAATTATATCTAAAAACAAGTGTTTCAAATTCAATTTCCAAATAATTTAGCATTATTACGGTCTATTGACGTATAGAAGYGTGACAATGAATATTGTTGGTCAGTTATTGATTAACTGAAGACTATAGTAGCCAAATGCCTAACGAAGACGCTGCTCTGATTGATATAAGTACTTAGTACCTATAGCGTGTAGATCCATTTCAGCATTTATTACTTTGATGTGAGAAAATGCCATTTCACACATAAACAAGTTAATTCGAAATATAATATGTATATGTAACTGTAGGTAAATCTACTAAAAGTTTAATAATAATAGTTGAATTTCTCAAAGATCGACCATTTTGACCCTTCCCCCCTTCTGATATATTTAGACATCAGACATGATGATATGGTAAATATATGATATGATAATATCATACTCACGACTATATGAAATTAGCTGCAATATAGGAAGCACTTATTTCAGTTTACTTTATTCACGTCCGTGATGTATACAATACAACGTCGATTGTTTGACTTTCTCTTCGTTTGGCTCACACCTATTTACTCTTATTAAATATATATATACATAGGTATATACACGTTGGATATCACATCGTCAGCGCATATTATACCTATGGTATACTTTTGCTGCTGTTGCTGCAACGTCGGAAACCTTTGCACCTTTTTGTTGTTATAATGAATTATTATTATGCGTGATGCGATCAAAGTCATTTTTCACGTTGAATGTGATATGTCCAAAGAAATATATTTATTTGCTCTCTTCTCACATCGGCCATCACCGAAAATCATCGGTGTGATCCGTTTACACGAGATCGATTTATATGCGTTGACATATTAATATCGTTATCGTGGATGAATGCAGTGTACGAGATCGAATATTTACGTTTTGGCACGAGCCACTATAGCGACGTGTAAAACAAAATAGCTGTCGAAATTGATTTCTAAAACTCCACATAAACTATACATTTCACACATTTCTAATCGGCTAATTTCTTTACGCGAATCAAACATCACAAATTATACGATTCTAACAACAATTATAGTATTATATAATTTATAATAATYTAATATTGTCCGAACAGAATGCCTCATCATCGACTTAAGTAGCCTAGTAGGTGACTGCTTATATTCATTCATTCATTGCATGTACATGACCTATTAAATTATAATACATAAACATCGATAAACACATTAAATGAAACACGTCGATTTATACATATTTTGTAGGTTCTCGTATATGAAAAATACACAAAATCGTGATGTATTAAATACTCCAAAACTTAGTCATTACATTTTATATAAAAATCTACTATTCACGTGTATTACGCTAAATCTCATCAAATTACATYGTATAATTTCTATATATATAGTTATATAATATATATACACAGAGGCGTAATTGTATGACCTTTATTTAAAAACAATTTGATAAAACAAACCATATCCGATATAAATGGCCTACTTATATGATTAATTTCTGAACTATTATTAACATATTGTACATTTTGAAAATGTTCGTTACTATTTTATGATAAAGCACTATATAGTTTAATTGAGACGWCGGTTACATTGTTTGTACATTTCRCCATATAATTAGCATAAATTACAACTAAACACTTTACATATAATTGCTAAATATTTCAGAACAATATTATCTTCGGTAAGTATAGTTCCTATATAATATACACAAATATTTCACATACTGTAAAATAAATTGTCTTCAAGCCGTTTTACGCCACATTGTATGTGAACTATAAGTATATCTATCACGTATACTAACAGAATTTAAACAAACTGTGATTTTAACGTGATATTATAATAATGTAAATATGTTCTATTATACGATTAACGAGCTAAAATATTTAGGTAACACAATTATAGTTTGGGAAATAATTTAATCTATTTTTTTTTTTTGTAACTAAAAAAACTATACAAAAAATACTCGTTTTCGATAGATGTAACTGTTTAAATAACCATAATAGAAAGAAAAAAAAATCGTATTTGAAGTTATTTCTATTAAATTGAGTATTGTTGCTAACATGTCACTCTTCCGTTGATAAAATATAGGTAACTGTTGTTTATTTTTTTATTGTCATTTGTCGTGGCTCGTGACTAGGTTATTTTTCTCAAAAAATATTTATAGTTATACCCATCGTATAAAATTTATACCATGTAAAAATAAAATATAAATGTTATACTAAGGTTTATGTAAGGTTTTTGTCTATTTCATGAAAAAAATAACTTGTTATTAAATTTTAATACGTAACGTATTCGTTTTGTTTCGCATATAAAACGTGTTCATTATTTATGTTGACCATAAAAAAAAAATATACCTTAAATGTCAAACATATTTATAAAAAGTATTTAAAAAAAAAAAATTAATTCCCGTCATTACAAGAACTAATACATGTGTATACGTGTGTGTGCGAGTGTGTAACAGCCGAAAACAAATAACCTTATAGGTTATAAAACATATTATTATATTGTGTTACGAATTGGCGATCTTAGTAACGCACGAACGATATGGTTTTATTCAAAATATTGTACAATATAATTATAATATAGGTACGTTATACCAAGTACAGCCATATAACATCGTTATTTCTATGCCAATAATTATTGTGGAAGAAACTTTGCTGGCGCATGATTTTCGTATTCTATTTTWTAAACAGTTCAATTGTTTTAATCCTATTCTGCCATATTATATTGTATATAATTATAATATATTAACGAAACGAAATAAAAACGTGAAAGTTTCTCTAGTATTCTAAACACTATACATCGTCTGACATAATACGTTAAGCTGCTGCGGTGTGTATTCGAACGAGAAATAAAAAAAGTGGGTAAGTAAGTGGATATCGCTCTGCAGTACAGTAGGTTACAAGTGGGTTACTGTAATGGATGGTATTAAATTTAAATTCAATGATGTAATATCATTGTATACGAAAAACTGTTCTGAGTGGAGATGGTTTATCAGTCTAGGATATGTTATACTGTATTAATTATATTGTTATGATTTCAA